TATAGGCACCTGAAGATTTAATAGGTGCAGGACCCCATAAATCACAAACCACTAATTCAAAAGGATGATTATAAACAGTAGTGGAGAGAGAAGTAGGAAGTCTGTGAGATTTTCCTAAGGAACAAGCAGAACAAAACTCTGCTGCAGACTTAGAAGAGAGAGAAATGCAGCAGGTTTTGAGCACTTCAGCAAGAACTTGATGATGGGGATGACCCAACCTGGTATGCCACAAAGCATACTTACTGAGAGTAGGAACAGACTTAGCAGTAGAGTAAACAATAGGCAAATTAACAGCAGAAACATCATTTTTATTCATAGAAAATGAAGAATTACAATCAGTAATAGTGTGACTAATATCATTGGAATGAGAGACAGTATTACATGAAGCCCTAGAATTACAATTATTGAAATCTAAAGCTGAGCTAGAATGGAGACTAGACAAAGGCTTTGACACTTGAGAGGAAGGAATCTGAAACTTGTAAAGACCATCATCTCCAACAATACCATGAAGAAGCACCTCAGAAGAACCCTGAGATTTGACAAGACAAAAAGAAGGATGAAATTCAAAGAAAACTTTGTTATCTTGTGCAAATTTACTTACACTGATGAGGTTTTTGGTGATGTGAGGAACAAGAAGTAAGTTGTGAAGTATGAGAGGTGTGTAAGACAGATGAGAGGAGGGAAATTTCATGGAACCTATAGAGTTAATGGACAAACCTTGGCCGTTTCCCATGAAGACTTGTTCAGAACCAGTCACAGATTGAGCATCAGGCACGTTGGAAGAGTCAGGTGTAACATGGTGTGAGGCACCTGAGTCAGGATACCACCATTGGTTGCTGAAGTTGGGATCAGAACTAGCCACAAAGGCTTGAGGCGGAGAAGGTCATGGTGCAGCTGGTCTCGGTGAGGAATAACCAAAGACAGGAGCATACACAGGACGAGCATTCGCCAGAAATGGATTGAAGGGAGCTTGTTGCGGCGGAAACAACTTTGGAGAGGACTGAGTGTACCTGTAGTAGCAAACAGAGGCATCGTGTCCACTTTTGTGACAGATTTGACACTGAGTTTTGCCAAAACGACCGCCGTGACGACCAAAACGACCGCCACCACGCCCTGAACGACCTCCTCTGTTGTAACCACTGCTTTCTGCGTGAGCATTAACGTGACTAGTACCAGTTGGAAAGGAGTCAGAAGCTTGCGAAACAGAGTCAGCCGGAGAAGAAGATTCAGACGGCGGAACCTGCGTTAGATTTACAGAAGCAGGATCAGTGAGAAGCGCTTTCCTGTGTTTCTCCAATCGAGATTCATGAGCAAGAAGACTGGATTCAAGATCCTCCAACGTACTGAGATCTTCCTTACTATTGACAGCAGCAACAATCGAATCATACTCCTCAGGAAGCGCATCCAGCACAATCTCAATTAGGTTACGCATCGGAACAGGATCTCCAACTGAAATCAACGAATCATTGATTTCGCGAACTCACGCCATGAACGCTTCAATATTGAGATTACCTTTGGAAAGACGGCGAAGTTCAGATCGTAGCTGACGAGCCTTCGTCGTGAGCTGCACGGCGAAGTAGCGGTGAACTTTCGTCCAAACCTGCCACGCGTGAGTACAATCCACAAGTTTGGGAAGAAGCGAGTCAGAAATCGTGGAGAGAAGCCACGTGCAGACAAGAGCATCCTGTTGCTCCCAATCAAGATACGCATCAGTGACTTCGCTAAGATTCGGATCAGAAGTCACCGGCGAACGCTGCGGAATCACCGGAACAGTGACAAAGCGTTGAAGCTTGTGGCCACGCACAACTCCATCGATTTGCTGCTTCCACTGTTTGAAATTTTTATCATCAAGCTTAACAGAGAGCTTGACGTGAGCGGAAGGAAAGGCGTCGTCGCTGCGAAACGGTGACGCCATGAATGAAGATTACTGGATCAGGAAAGAAGAAGCTCTAGATACCATGATACAGTACCATAAGAGAGAGAAAAGAAGAAAGATGAAAATCTCATATATTGATCTTAGTTAGAAAGAGTACAAAGGCATGGTATATAAAGTAGCCTTAGATCTAACTAACTGTACAGCTGGCATATAGCTGTAACAGATCAATGACACGTTGTATAACAACTACTCTCTATTAGTTTTCCATTAAATTGAGTGTTTCCAAGTTTCATCAAATAACTTGAGGTGGATTTTTGTGTTATGGGACAAGATGCCCAATCTGAATCATAAAAGGCAGCTAGTTGCAGATTGTTGTCCCTAGGTAAGACGATGCCTTGACCCGAAGAGGATTTAAGATATCAAAGGACTCTTATGGCCGCGTCCCAATGTTCTTGAAAGGGTGTTTACATAAATTGGCTCAACACATGGACAATGTATGTTAATTCTGGCCTTGTGATAGTGAGGTAGATGAGGTGGCCAATTAGTCGTCTATATTTTAACGAATCAGAGTATGGTGGTCCATTAGCCAAAGCGAGTTTGTGATTGGCCTCCATAGGGAAGAAAGAAGGCTTAGAACCAAGCATGCCACATTCAGTGAGGATGTCAAGTGTATATTTTCGTTGGCAGAGAAAGAAGCCTTTTTGGCCATGCGCTAGTTCGATACCAAGGAAATATTTAAGTTTGCCAAGGTCTTTCATATGGAAGCATTGGCTCAAGTATTGTTTGAATTTAGCACAAGTTTCTTCATGGTTTCCAGCGATGATTAAGTCATCGACGTAAACTAGGACATCTATGATAAATGGTTTGGTGTACATGAAGAGACTATGATCAACATGACTCTCCTTGAAACCATAGTCAATCAATGCTTTGGATAACTTGGAATACTAGTTACAAGAGACTTGGCGTAACCCACACAAGGACTTCTTCAACCAGCAAACCATGTTAGGATAGTTTTGTAGCCTTGTGGGAGTTTCATATAGACATCTTCATTTAAATCTCCATGAAGAAAGGCATTGCTAACATCCATTTGATGTAGGATCTATCATTTGGTTGCAGCAACAGTCAGTAAGCATCGAATGGTTGTCATCTTGGAAACGGGCACAAAAGTTTCATTAAAGTCCTCTCCTTCTATTTGAGTGAATCCTTTTGCAACTAATCGGGCTTTGTGTTTCTCAATTGCTCTCGTGGCTTTGTGTTTAATCTTGTACACCCATCAGCATCCTATTAATTTTTTCCTAGGCGGTAGAGTGGTTAGTTCCCACGTTTGATTGGCCTCCAATGCTTGAAGTTCTTGAGCCATGGCATCTTTCCATACTTGCAGTTTACTCGCTTGAGTGTATGACATAGGTTTGGCAGTGTTACTAATTGTTGCAAGGTAAGCTTTATGAGTGTTGAAAAAGTATCATAGTAGACAAAGTTTGAAATGGGGTATTTAATATTTGAGTGCATGTTGTAGCAATAGAAATTGTTGAGGTGTGGTGGGGGTTGTCGTATTCTTGGTGGCCACACTATTCCAGCATTGTCATGTTCCTCATTATGCTCCCCCTCAATTGAATCATCTACATTGTTGGATAGTGTGTTTGGAGCTGAAATTAGATTGGGTGTATTGTGCTAAGCGGGTTCAAATGTGTTGGTAGGGATTCTAGTGCATTGTTAGCATGTTCTTGGTGCAATATGTCAACATCATCAGTGTCAAGGTTGTTTGATGTAGTGTGAGTTTCTTGTGCATTGATAGGAGAATTGGCAGCAAGTGATGGGACGATTTTAGTTTGTAGCTCTTCATCGTCACTGTAGTATTCTGCAGTATTTTTGTTTGTGTGGCTAGGGGTGGGTTAGATTCTTGAAGGAAGGGGTAAGTATCCTCATAGAAGAAGAGGTCTTTCGATGTATGGGAGGTATAAGTTTAGAGGCTGTAAACTTTCCATCCTTTTTGGCCTTGTGGATATCCAATGAGTAAGAATTTATCGGCTCTTTAATCAAATTTGTCTAGTGATTTGGAGACATTCTTCATGTAGCATAAACACCCAAAGTTACGAAGATGGTCATATTGTGGAGCCTTTTCTAAAAGGAGCTCATAGGGGGTGAGGCCATGATTAACAACAATAGGTGTTCTATCGATTATGTATGCTGCAGTTAAAACACATTCGCCCCAAAAATATAGTGGAATGTTTGCTTGGAAGCGTAACGCAACGCTCGCGCTATATTTAATACATGTCTATGTTTATGTTTGACTTGTCCGTTTTTCTATGGTGTATAAGCACAAAACGTTTCATGAATTATTCCCTCTTGTTGAATGAAAGATAAGAATTTGGAATTAACAAATTATGTACCATTGTCACTGCGTATTCGCTTAACAGTTTTATTGAATTATCGCCTGATCAAATTACAGAAATTGATCAAGTGGTGCAGCGTTTTAGTTTTCGATTTCATTAGATACACCCAAGTTCCTCTAGTGTAATCATCAATAATGATGAGGAAATAGTGTACTCCATTATGAGCAGCAGTATTGTATTTGCCCCAAAGGTCACAATGAATCAAATCAAAAGTTTCTTGGCTTTAGTATTACTAGAAGGAAATGAGTTTCTACATTGTTTTGCTTTATGACATATTTCACAGCAAACTAATTTATGTGAATCAAAAGTACAGTTGAGGTGATGCGGAATTTGTTGTAAGGCTTGAGGAGAATGGTGTCCCATTCTAGTGTGTCACAAAGTTGTTAAATCTTTTTTAGCTGCCCTTACGAATCCATGCTGAGATAGATTTGTGAACCGATAGACACCTTCACACATGCTACTGAATCCAATCTTCTTCTTTGTTAGAAGGTCCTGTATTATGTAGCAATTTTGATCATAAGTCGCCGTACAAGATAGATCACGAGTCAATCGATGAATGGAAATTAAGTTACAATTGAATGAAGGTACTAGGAGCACATTATGTTATATGAAATTTTTGGGTAGAGATACATCTCATATGCAATCAATAATGGTGGATGTCCCAGTAGGAGTAATAATGTGAAAAGATGTTGACAATTTCTTGATATTATGCAAAAGAGATGGTAAATGAGTCATATGATGGGATTCACCACTATCAAGTATTCATGTATTGTTTGCATGTACATGATATCGAGGGGTGGGACTGGAGTTCTGGTGTGCGTTCCATGAAGAGTGTGCCCTAATGTCAAACCTTCTGTGATATCACGTTTGTCAAGTGATGCAGAACATCGTGAACATCCATGCTTGTTGTGATCTCTTCTTAAAGGTCTTCTGGTTTCCCAATGTTCAGGATATCCAACGATTTTTAAACACTTGTCTTTGACATGGCCATTCTTACTACAGTGATCACACTTGAGTTTCGGATATTCACACCACTTTGATTTGTCATGTTTGGATGAGTGAAAGGCTAAAGTTGCAGTAGTGTTAATACGCCTGTTTGTTTCAGTTGTTAATCGTGATTCCTCTCGTTGTATGAGATTGAAAACGCGACACAGTGGCAGGAGATGATCTGAGTTGAGGGTGGTGCCTTTGATGTGAGCAAATTGGTCGTTGTCAAACCACCAAGAAACAGATGAACATGTTACTCATCATCTCTTTTGGTTAAAGATTTGGAGGCTCCACAGTTGCAATCTGATATCGATTGGAGTTCATCAAGCTCATCGAAAAGGCTTTTGAATTGAGTGTAATATGTTGTTATACTCGTGTCGGAATCTTTCTGCAGAAGGCATATTATGCGCCATAGTTGATGCGTAAGAGATGCTTCCATGCAGGTTGGGATCAATTTCATTGATAAGCCATGCCATGACTATGGAATCCGCTTTTTCCCAGCTGGAAAAATCTGCAGAATCACGAGTTGGTTTCTTGATAGAACCATCAATAAAGCCGATTTTCACCTTTGCACGCAAAGCGGTTTTCATGGCTCGAAGCCATGTGCGATAGTTGCTGCCATTCAAGATTACAGAAACAGAAGAGGTTTGTGGGTTATCAGAATTGTTCAGAGTGTATGCAGGGTTGGATGGGATGATGGTGGGGTGATCATCATCGGTATCGTCGTGCTCGGATGCCATATTGAAAGTTAACTATGGAATTTCATTCCTCTGTACTTTTCTTTGAAAAGAAAAGCTCACAATTGAGATGTTTATATATATGATATTATGGGCCTAAGAATTAGCAACAAACTAACGGATAGAAGATATAAAGGTGGAAGAAAGATATCAGCCAATACAGGTGGTTACACTAAATCCTAACTCTAATACTCTAGATCAATCATTAACAACATGAAAATACATTTAATTAAGATTTTCGAAAAATCTATTCAATAACTCTCATGAACTCTCAACACAAAAAATGGTAAAATCATTATTCTCAACTGTTTCAAGCAAATGAATACTCCATTAGAAGCGGAATTTCTCCACAAACATGATTCTATAATTAGTTTTTCATAAAACCTCATAACCATGCTGGATCGTGAGTGTTTGTATTCGAGCTTCACACCACTTTTTTATTTTGATTTGTCAAATTCACGGCTTGTTTTGCAATTTTGAATACATACTTAAAATTGTGGTGAAATTTCGGTTCTAACGGTATATAATTTGTGAATTAATTCGTTGATTTGATGAAATTCACGGCTTGTTTTGCAATTTTGAATACATACTTAAAATTGTGGTGAAATTTCGGTTCTAACGGTATATAATTTGTGAATTAATTCGTTGATTTGATGATTTTCAGATTTTTTGTTCATGTAATGTAATTGAAGATGATGAACACAATAACACTCATATAACAATAGTGAATTAATTGAAGATGGCTGTTTTCTGATTTTCGGATTTTTCTGATTTGGAGATGTGAAATGTTAATTCATTGATTTAGTGATTAGTGTTAGATTAATCAAAAGACTGAAAATTGTACGCGTAATACTAGTTTCATCCTCAATAATTATACCAACACATTATATCAACATATGTACTCATACTGTGAACATAATCATATGTATAACCACTATACATATTTATATATATAATCAAATTAATATGGTCTCTCTCCTTCATAATTACCAACAGGATCATAATTACAAGTCATGAACACATCACCATCATCACACACAACTCTTGCACAGCCAATTCTTCTAGTACTTTTCCACACAATTTGAGTATAATGTCCACACATTTGACCAGAAACACATGAATTAGTAAGATATGTGTAATATTTCTCTTCATCAGCCCAAGCTTTTACAGCATCAGATGGAGTCCAATCGGAGCCACTACCCCAATATATATTCTCTCCTAACTTGAAACCATTCTCAGGAAATGAATGTTCCACTTTGCAATCTGGTTTTCTTTGACTAGCCCACCATCTTGCGTATTGTTCGAGCTGTAAATCCCATGTCAATGGAAGCTCCCATTTGTATGCTCTTACTATGTTGTGTCGGAAAAGGAACTCTACTGACTCGGCCATGCAGCCCCAACAGAGTTGCTTTGAAACTTTGTATATGGTTTCGTTGTTTGGTTTTTTCTGCTGGGTTAAATATTGGTTGTATAATTGAGTTGCTGAAGAAGGAGATACGGGTGTGGTTGAGATTGAGAGAGTTTTTGCGGTGAAGGTGAGAAAAACAAAGAAACAGAATAAGAAATGGGAGTTCATGATTTCTAGCTACGGTGTATAGAACATGAAGTTTTGAGGTTTAATACCTTAATTTATATGTGGTTGGAAGTTGGAACCTGGTTATGTGTTGTAGAAAAGATGAATCACGCGCGGTTTAGGAGCTGTGAAGAGCAATCGCCTATGTATCACATTGTTAATGTTGGTGTGGTGGTGATGTTGAGGTTGAGACAAACGCATGAATGGGACGTGGGGTGGAAAAATGTGCACGGAAACATCAGATATACTATGTGTTGGATGATTGCATTGAAGGTTTTCCCGTGAATCAGATATATGTTTTGCCCGTGAGTGTTCTTTGTTCGCATTATGGGAGGGTATGTGCTACAAATAGAATTTGTCACGTGTAATGCTTAACAAAGTTCATGAAGTATGAAGAAATCATTAATTGTGCTTGTTCACATGTGGTATCTATGAGTCAAGTTCCTCTCCATTTCTCATTTTTCCATTTTATACATTACTACAATTTTGGGAATATAAATGTGTTAATGTGATATTTAGTGGGTCAATTTATTTTTTATACATTATAAATGTTATCAATATTATAATAATGGAGAGAGAAAATGGAGAAAGAAAATAGAGAGAATCTTAATTCGAGATTTAGGATAACAAAATAAACAATGACGAAGATAGAATGTCATGTGTTATATGAAATTGAAAAAGGCTCATTGCGTTTTTTTATAAATAATTTGCATCTAACAGTAAATCTAAAACTTTAGGATGAGCATATCCTTTACATGGTTAATGATGTTAATGTTTTAAAATTTGATAGTTAAACTCCGGACATTCCCAAAATACATCCACAATCAAAGTCTTAGACGTAGACTATAATAGAGTTGAAAAAATTCGGAGGTTAATATTCGTGTTTTATACCGAAGTTAATTTTTGGAATCCTCTTTATTACATTACACCAAAAACATTTGAAAAAATGAGAACTATAAAATAAGTTAATATAAATCTTTCTTATGACATTTGACACATAAATTTCGGAGGTTAATCTCTGTATTTTATATGAAAATTGACTTTTAAAATCCCCCATATTATTCCACAACAAAAACAATGATAGAAACGAGAATAATAACATAAATTAACATAAATTTTTGTTTATATATATATATATATATATATATATATATATATATATATATATATATATATATATATATATATATATATATATATATATATATATATATATATATATATATATATATATATATATATATATATATATATATATAAATTTTTTAACGTAAATTTAACATTTCATTTCATCATTAAGAGGTGGTTGAGGACGTTTCAACATCTTTAAAATATCTTGGATTGATTTGGTAACTGTCGCATTCACCTCGATCAGACTTTTTGTTTCATAACAATTAAATCTTCATTGGTCTCCGGTTCAAACTTGCTTAAATGTATTTTTCATTCATTGTCAATTGAGGTGGACGGCAATAAAGCTTCACAACTCTTAGATTGCTCAGGTATCATAACAAATTCTCTAGTGAACCAAAATTCAAGAGGGGGTCTATCGTCGTTTACATAGACAAATGCAAGATACAACTATTGAGACATTATGTGGTGATTTTGTTAACAACATGAGTGACAACTATATTTAGACACGTTTTAGATCAATATGGGTCTTAGAAACTCAATCTTGTTGTTGTACCCCAAAATTTGCCCTCCCTTTTTCACAAGAAATCACAACCCTAGGATTTTCTCCGATTTTCAAGATTGGCTCAGGAATCGATCAGACAGATTTTTCTTTGGCAGTAGATCAAGAATTAGGGTTTCTCTCGCATTTCTCAGAAGAAACTGAATTTTCATAAATTCAAATTAACTGTCACATGTTTTCACACTTGTTCGAGTTTGCTGAAAGGTTACTGGTTGTTCTCAAGGCTTGTTTATCTGGGATAAGAGATAGGAGCTGAGATGGTCATTTGGAACATTCAGGTTTTTGTCTGATTCGGGTTAACCAAATAATGTGCGTCTGTTAAGACGTTTGCTTGTTAATGGAATGAAATGTTTGCTTGTTTATTGGAATACCCGGTGCGTATTTTGATTGAAATGTTGTTGCAAGGTTACGAGACTACAAAGTTATTGGATTACTTAAAATTTAAGTTATCTGTATTAGAATTGTTGGAATGCAATTTCAATTATTTTGATCTGAGAATCTTAAAGGATTAAGTGAAGATGCAAAGAAAGAATCAGTAGAAGATTTTTATTGGATATCAGATTATCTCACGAAGACTTTTTCATTTATTTCAAAAAATGTTACAATACAGTTTATTATTTAAATGCTTTAAGTTGTACAACTTATTGTATTTGAAAATTAAATTGGTACATTTGTTTGAATATTTATCCCTAAGTTACAAAGAAAAAAGTCTAAGCCTAAGCTTCCATTGCTCCCGTGCTCGCCACAAAGTCTTCTGCTTCCCCTGCTTTGGCACCGTCCAATTTACGCTCACATGAAAGAAAGACAAAAGAAAAAGAGGATTAGTACAGTTAATTAAATAGAATTTTCAAACAAAAAGAGAAAGAAAATTGTTCATCATTAAAGTTTTTCGTTTGGAATCAGAGTGCTATTTTTCATCACGTTTTTATTTTCCTTTTTGCAAATCACAAGAAGATTGCTCTTCTTGGTTCACAAAGGGAAAAATAAAAATGCAAAAGAAGAGTGCAAAAGCAAATTTGTTCAAATTCAGACATAGGCCAAAAGCAACTAAGGCAAACAGGCGCCAAACTGTACTAAGCATAGCAACTAAGGCAAACAGCATGGCAAAACATTGCAGCAAACTAAGCATAGCAACTAAGGCAAACAGCATGGCAAAACATTGCAGCAAACTAAGCATAGCAACTAAGGCAAACAAAATTGCAGCAAACTGAATGCAAACTGAACCAAGGCAGCACAAGTATAAACAGCAGCACAAGTAATGCAGTTATAAAGTACAAGTGCAGACAATAGCAGGCCAAAAGTAAAATGCAGGAGGTAAACCATATAACAAGCAAAAGGCTTGTCATAGCTTTTTCATCATTTTCCAGCAAATAGGCAAACTTTTCAGAAAAGTGAAAAAAGCAAAAACTGCTTTATCATTGAGAGAGAACGAGAGAAAAGATATCACCTTTTTGGAGATTGTACAGTTTGGAAAGATCTGTCACAAGTTGCAAAATAAAAGCAAAAGGATATAACTACATCAAACAACACAAAGTCAGGAAGAGAGCATTTTTTGGTCAATCAACAAGTACCAAAACCTGTTAACAGTTTCAAAAGGAACCAGCCTGCTAACCAAAATCCCCAACCTGTTATAAAACTCAAACATCACAGAAAACCTGTATAAAAAAAGAGCCACAAACCAAAACTGTACACCAATTCCCAAACAGAAACAAGCTTGCAAAACTGTAACAATATAGCAGTTCAAATACACAAGCCTGAAACTGCCAAACCAGAAAAACCTGTGCAAATATTTCACAACAATCCCAAACCTGCTATCAAACTAGCCAAGCCTGAAAACTCACAAGACAAACAGCCAAAAACCTGTTAACAGTTTCCAAACAAACAAGCCAAACCTGCAGATTTCAAACTGCAACACAACTGTAACAAACAGCACAACCTGCACAAAACTCCCAGACCTGTGCAAACATAACAAAACTCTCACACATGTGCAAGCATAACAAAACTTCCAAAACCTACAGTTCCAAAAAACTTATACCACAGTTTCCAAACTGTAAACAGAAACTGCATAACAGTTTTAAAAACAGGGCCAAATACCCCAAACCCGCACAAGCTTACCAAACTGTGAAACCAAAGCTAAAACCACAAAACTGCAAGTTTCAAACACAGTTTTAAACCTTCCCAACATTCCAAACCCAGTCCTAAAATAACTATTTCCAAAATTCCAACAGGTTCACATCAAACAAATCAAAGTTCCAGAAATCATCATCACCAAACCTTCAACAACAATTCATCAAAACCAGTATCTCCTCCCTAACTCAGCATACAAATCCAAGCTTACAAAAAATTGTTTCAGAAAGAAGCAATCATCATCAACATTCAAGTTCAGCAAAACAACAATCAAAAGTTTCAGAGATTATCATCAATCATCATCAACTAACATACCAACAAGGTTTCAGAAGCATTCAGCAAGCATCATCATAGCTCAAGAGAGAGGAAAGAAATAACGAAAGAGGCAAGCATCATCAATCAGGTTCAAATCAGAAGAAGAAAATCATACCAAACAATCAAAAGGTTTCAGAGCAAACCGTCATCATCTCTTCCCCTCGTGTCCAGCCACCAGGGAGCTCCATCTCACCTTTCCTCTATTCTTCACAGAGAAAGTCTCACGGGTATGACCATTTCGTACCCCTTTGCTGAATCTCAAGCATACAATACCATAGATTAATAAAATTGTAAAATCAAACAAGCTTGAAAACTGAAAAATGCTAAATCAAAAAGAGACGAACCATACCGTTTTACAACAAAGCCATGGATAGTTAGGAAGAGGTTAGAGAGTGAGAGACAACGCTTCGGCGGCTTGAACGGAGGAGAAGATCAGAATGTTTGAGTAAGGCTGAGAAAGATGAAGAGAAAACGAAGACAAGCGGCGCCGCTGTGAAGCAAGGAACAAACCCTAATTGTTCCACAAACGCTAATCAGTTGTTACAACTTGTGAATTAGGCCCTATCCGCCCCAAGCTTAAGCCCATAACATTGCTAACGTCCCCCCCCCCCCCTTTTCCATCCTGACCTTTTCTTCTTTTATTTTTGTTTTGGGCCCAACACCAATATCACCTTTAAGCCCATCCTCTTTTCTTTTCTTTTCTTTTCTTTTGTTTAACAAATACTTTTGTTTTTTAATTAATTCATTTTAATTAATTTGTTTTCTTTTCTTTTTGTTAATAATAACACTAATAATATTTAAAACTTTGATTTTCTTAAATTAATTTTATTTTCTTATTTTATTAATTAATCTTGTTTCATTTAATAAAATA